GCCAGGGGCTCAGGGCACCGGGGCTTTGGGGCACAGCATCCGCTCAGAGGTGTCCCCCACCTGCAGTACTCCCTCAGCACCAAGCGCTCTAGCCCCGATGATGGCAATGACGTGTCCCCGTACTCCCTGTCCCCCGTCAGCAATAAGAGGTGAGTCCAGACCTGCACCAGGTGGGGAGGGGGCAATGCTGGGGGCTGTGCACAGGTCAGGGAGGCTCCTGGAGGAGGCTCCAGGCAGAGGGGAAGTGGGTTGTCGGAGCTCAGGGCAGCTGAGCACCCATGCCGGAGGGCCGGTGGCCATGCGGTCACCCACAGTTCTGGAGTCACAGAGTGTCAGTCAGGATGAGCAGGAAACACCGGGGGCTGCTGGAAAGGGAGACTGTGAAGTCTGTGCAGTCACTGCAAAGCCACTGCCCCGCCCCCGCCCTGCAGTCAGAAGTTATTGCGGTCTCCACGGAAACCCACGCGCAAGATCTCCAAGATCCCCTTCAAGGTCCTGGACGCTCCTGAGCTGCAGGACGACTTTTACCTGAACCTGGTGGACTGGTCCTCCCTCAACGTGCTCAGCGTGGGGCTGGGGACCTGCGTGTACCTGTGGAGTGCCTGCACCAGCCAAGTGGGTGCTGCTGAGCGCGTGCATACGTGTGTGTGTTGTGGGGAGTGGTGCTAGGTAGCCGCCAAGCTAGGCCGGGCCCTGTGTGAGCAATGGGGGAGCTGCTGGGGCCTGGATAGTTCCCAGCCACCCCCTCCTCCTACTCCCGTCTCCTCAGGGTGCAGACCATCCCTGCCCCAGGCTGGCTTCTGGGAGTTAGAGTCTTTGCTCCTGGCTTGAGCACAGGGCCCCCCACCCAGCAGTAACTCCCCCTCCTCTGAGTGGCTGCTGGCCCCCAGGGTGGCATGTTTGAGGGGCAGAAATACATGCTGGTGGGTTCAGAGAAAGCGCAGGGTGGCATGTTTGAGGGACAGAAATACATGCTGGTGGGTTCAGAGAAAGTGAGTGGAGCCCCCCACAGGGACACTGGCACACCCACGTACACATCCCGTACAGCCCGTGGCCAACGCCTGCTGCAGGGCCCCCCGGCTGTGATGTCCGTGCCCCCTGGCTGTGCAGTCAGCATCACTCTGCTTGTGTGTGTCCCCGAGCTCCCAGCTACCTCCTGGGGCCCACAGTGAGGCCGTTGCTCACAGGCCTGAGGTGTGAGGGAATGAGAGAGTGAAGGGGTGGGTGGATGGATGGATAGACAATCTGGGCCTTAAAGGAGGAGTGGGCCCCACGTCTGTCGCACCAACATTACGCCTTCCACCAGGTTACCCGGCTCTGTGACCTCTCCGTGGAAGGGGACTCAGTGACCTCCGTGGGCTGGTCTGAGAGGGTCAGTACACCAACTCCATCCCCTTGCTGGGCAGGGTTGGCACAGGGGAGGTCTGACTGGACTTCACTGGAGGGGCTTCCACAGTGGTGGGGGCCTTGCACACCCAGAAGGAGCCTTATGGTCATTTGTCCAGCCCCAGTGATGTCTGCACCCTGGCTGTCCCCAGCCTGGTGCAGGTGGTTAGATGACAGACACGGGGGCAGGCAAGTTCGCTCCACACGTTGATGCGTGTGGATCTCTGCGCATGTCATGTGGGTTTTAACAAACCTAAGCTCCACATAACTATCTGCCGGGTTCCTAGGAGAGGGATCCGATGGCACATGCGTTAAGAGACTTTGGAGGGAGGGGGAGGGGGAGGGGAGGGCCCCATACTGGACCTGACACCAGCCCATGTTGCCATTCTAGGGGAACCTGGTGGCTGTCGGCACACACAAGGGCTTCGTGCAGATCTGGGACGCTGCTGCGGGGAAGAAGCTGTCCATGCTGGAAGGCCACACCGCGCGTGTCGGTGAGGAGCCACCTGGGGGCAAGGGTGGGGGTGTGCTGCAGGGCCAGGCCGCATCCTCAGCCTGCCCTCCACCTGGCCGCAGGGGCGCTGGCCTGGAACGCTGACCAGCTATCGTCCGGGAGCCGGGACCGCATGATCCTGCAGAGGGACATCCGCACGCCCCCCCTGCAGTCAGAGCGGCGGCTGCAGGGCCACCGGCAAGAGGTGTGCGGGCTCAAGTGGTCCACCGACCACCAGCTTCTCGCCTCGGGAGGCAACGACAACAAGGTAGGCCAGCTCCTCACTCCCTGCAGCCCCCTCTGTGGAGCAGGGTGACGGGGGTGTGCCCCGAGGGACACCAGTCTCACGGCCCCATCCCCTCAGCTGCTGGTGTGGAACCACTCGAGCCTGAGCCCCGTGCAGCAGTACACGGAGCACCTGGCCGCCGTCAAGGCCATCGCCTGGTCCCCCCACCAGCACGGGCTGCTGGCGTCCGGGGGTGGCACGGCTGACCGCTGCATCCGCTTCTGGAACACACTCACGGGGCAGCCGCTACAGTGCATTGACACCGGCTCCCAGGTGTGCAACCTGGCCTGGTCCAAGCACGCCAACGAGCTGGTGAGTGGTGGGGTACAGGACGGGTCTGGCAGAACCTCACCCAGGCGCCCACACCCAGTGACCCCCAGAGAAGCCCAAGGGCTCTCATGGGCAATTGGTCCCTGTGTCAGTCCAATCATGGACCAGGGAGCCGGGCTGGTGGATGTCACCTGCTGGTCTCTGTACCCTTCAGGCAGGCCCTAGTGCTCTTGTGCCTTGTGGATGTGTCTAGGGGCCTGGGACGCCGGCATAGTGCCCTTTCTGTCCCCTAGGTGAGCACGCACGGCTACTCACAGAACCAGATCCTGGTCTGGAAGTATCCCTCTCTGACCCAGGTGGCCAAGCTGACCGGGCACTCCTATCGGGTCCTGTATCTGGTGAGTCTGCCTGCCAGGCCCAAGAGGCAGTACGCCAAGCTGCCCAGGTCTGTCCTCCGCTCTGGGCCAGCTCCGGGCCCCAGGACCAAGTGACAGGTTGAGGCATTGTCACTCTGAGTCTGTTTCACCAGCTCTCTGCCCACTGTGTGATCTCTAGGTGTCTGCTTCTACATGGAAGTGGAAGCTGCTGCAGATAACCCCCGTGTACTTGCTCAGGTCATCTCTAGATGGTTCACTAAGTAACCGTTCTCATGTGTCTGGAGATAGGAGCCCCTCTCCTCACACACATGCCCTCGTCAACATTTTGGTGTTTTCCAAAAAAAACTTTTGTCCTTAAGCCAGCGAGTCTTTTGCCGAATTGCACAGAGAGATCGTCCCTCGTTACAGCAGGCAGGATGTCCTTTGTGTTTTCCCCGGGTGCCTGCAGCTGCGAGGACAGTGGCCTCTCTCTCCTCCCGTAGGCCATGTCCCCTGATGGAGAGGCCATCGTCACCGGTGCTGGAGATGAGACACTGAGGTTCTGGAATGTCTTTAGCAAAACCCGTTCAACAAAGGTAAAGTGGGTCGGTATCAGCACCAGATGTTCCCAATTGTGTGCCCCCCGCATGTTCTGGGCCCCCCCCCCCGCCCCGCCCTGCCCTCCGGCTTCTGGCGCACATCCCTGCCCCCACAGGGAGGCTTTGCAAACCTGTGCCTGGGCTCCTGCTGCAGGTCACGTTTTCCTGCTCAGCCCTGGGCAGAGCTTCCCTCCCACGCTTGAACGGCGGGGCTGGGCTGAGGGCTCAGCATCATCCCTGTGTATCCTGCAGGAGTCCGTGTCTGTCCTCAACCTCTTCACTAGGATCCGGTAAACCCACAGCTACCGGCCGTCTTGGTCGCAGAGCAACACCTTGTCAGCGTGCATGGACCCTCTGCTCCCCCCCACACGGGCCCGAGATCAGCAGCAGGGTGGGGCGGGAGCCTGGCCTGGAGAGACCCTGAAGATTCCATTAAAGCCTGATTGCGAACCCTGTTGGCCGGTGTTTGGGGCAGGGCCGGGGCGGGCAGCAGCAGGAGTGGGGCTCTGGCTCCCCACCCTGGGCGGCCCCGGCTCGGACAGTGTGCCCAGAGCAGGACGATTGCTGGACTGGCCATTTCCATCATCCGTCACCACCACTGCCTCATCAGGGCTGCATGCTATGCCCGGAAGCATGTGCCCACCGCTGCCCACGCCTGCTGCAGGACAGGACAGCTGGACACCACGCCGGTCGGCCGGGAAGGCTCACAGGGACGTGCCCTCTTGAGGGGTCTCTCTGCAGCTGCCTCTGCTCTCCCTGACCCGAACACCCCCCCGCTGACTCTGAGTGCACGACATTGGGAGCAGGCCCCCAGGCAGGCTACATGCCAGAGGTCATCTCAAGGTGGACTTGTTATCTGAGGAGAACTCTAGGGGGAGTCTATCCGCTGTCACGTGTTCACCCCAGCTGAGCCCTCGTTGCTCACAGGGTCACAGGCAACTGGGATTCTTGGCGCTTGCAGGGTAACCAGTCAGGGTAGCCTGAGGGCAGACTCGACCCCAAGGGTCAGGTCCTGTGGGTGCCTGGCCCTTCCCAGCCCTTCCTTCCAGGCTACCCTAGTGGGTCCTGTCTGCACCTCCAGCCAGGACAGGGGGCACCCCAGGGTCCCCCAGAAGTTTCCTGAGCTTCTCCTGGCTCTGGGTCCACCTCCCTGTCATCCTCCACTCTGTTTCTGCTGCACCTGGAGGAGACGGAGGAGGGAGGTGAGGCAGGTGTCGCCAAGGGCCCAAGCAGCTGCCTCCGCCTCCCCTTCTGAGGTGGGAGGACATGGATGGGCGTGGACAGGGTGGGGCGGGCCCTGCAGGAGCCCTGCTCTTGGTTCTGAGGACCTTTGCCCCTCAGCAGCCAGTGTGTGCATGTGTACATACGTATTTGTGACTTTCCTTTGGATTTGTTTTTGTGTTTCTGTAAATCAGTCCCCAAATATTAAGGCTCGCTGGCAGGGAGCAGTGACCTGCCCCCACCCCTGGGGAAGACAGGGGTCACAGCTCTTAAAGCCCTAGCATTTCAGAGGGTGCGCGGGTGCCTGAACTTGGGGAAGGGTGGGCCTGCCCCCAGCTGCTTGCAGGGGGCAGAGGGACAGTGTATATAGACATGTGTATGCCCATTGGTCCAGGTCTTACTTTTGTTTGAGTCTTTTTTTTTAATAAGAAAACAGTCCTGTGTCTACCGCACCTGCCCTGGCTCTGCTTGTGGGCTCCGTACCTGAGGGCACAGACAGGGCAGAAATGATGAAGCATGTGTTGTCCTCCGATGCAGTGGCGGGGCTGGGCATGGGAGTGGGTGGCAGGTGGGAGAGCCAACCACATCGTCATGCCCAGTGGGGCTATCAGTCTGTCGATGTGTTTGGCACTGATGGTCTGCACTCACCATAACCCCAGAGCAGCCTGAATGTCACAAGCAGGCGGTGACAGGCTGAAGAGGCCACTTGCAGGTGGTCAACAGGGAGCGCCAGTGTCCCTGAATGCCTGGATCCCTGATCTATGCCAGTCATTGCAGCTCAGCTTGTGGCAGGTTCTGTGGGAGTGAGAGGGTGGACCCAGGGATGGTGGGGTGAATAGACAGCAAGGACTGACTCAGTGCCCTGGGCTTGTGGGGGGCCCTTGGGGGTTAGGACTTGTTTCAATTGCTGCTAGACTGACAAAGGGGAAGGGTGTTAGTGACAGCTGAAGGTGAGACAGGGAGGAAAGCAACCAGGCTGGAGGGGCTGCGACACTGGATGGGCCGCCTAGGTGGGGACCCCAGAGGGTCCTGAGAAGAAACGAGGTGAGGCCCCTGCAGTGAGCAGATGCCCATGACTGGTGGTACGTCCTGTGGAAATCTCTGTCCTGGGCAGCGGGGACGAGGGAGGCCAGAGTCCAGACCTGCCCTTGAGCAGCTTCTGTCGTGCAGGTGAGTGGACAGTAGAGTGTTAAGTGCATGTGGCAGGCACAGCATGAAGCGGGGGGCGGGGAGGCCTTGGGAAGAGGCAGCTCTAAGCCCAGGGCTGAGGTGGGAGCAAGGGTCCAGTGTGGGGCACGGACACAGCCACGCTAAGGTGGTGCCCCAAGCCGTGGGCATAGCTGTGCAAAGGCCCTGGGGCAGGACCATGTTGGAGGAACAGAGGAGAGAGGCCTGTGTGTGTGGAACAGAATGAGCAAGTGGGGGAGAGGGAGGAGGAGAAGGAAGGGCGGGCATGGGGGAGGTCAGGCAGGGCCTGGTGGGCTGAGGAGAGGATTTGGGCTTTTACCCCCAAGGAGGTGGAACAGGACCAGGTTGCTGTGTGGAGACCTGGACACAGGTGGGAAGGGACCAGGGAGGAGGCTGTGCCCTGGCAGGTGCTGGCAGAACTGTGGCTCAAGCCACTGGAGATGGTGAAAGCAGGTTCTGGATTTGTTAATTTTTGTGTGTATGGTGAAATGTGCATAACATATTAAGGTGTACAATTCAGCATGTTTTTAGTATGTATACTATGTTGTGCTACCATCATCACTCTTCAGTTCCAGAATTTTCCATCCCCGAAAAGAAGCCCTGTCCCCATCAGCAGTCACCCCCTCTTCCCCCTCCCCAGCCCCTGACAATCAGGAACCCACTCTGTGTCTGTGAATAGGCCTGTTCTGGACGTTTCCCATCAGTGGAATCATACCCTGTGTGCCCTTCTGTGTCTGCTTCTCTCACTGAGCGTCGTTTTCTCAGGGTCGTGTCAGTGCGTCACTCCATTCTGTGCTGAGACACGTTCCCCAGCATGGAGGAACCCTGCTTGGGGTTTCGGTTCTGCGGTTGGGCGTTTGGGTTGCTTCCACTCTGGCTGTGGTGGCTCATGCTGTTGTGAACACACGTGTGCAGACTGTCAAACTGGGTAAAGGACTAGATGCAGGGAGAAGGTGGAGCTGAAATTGTGGAAGGGAAATTCAGAAAGTTGGTTCTGTTCCAAGATGCCCCTGTGGGGGTGTTGGGGGACAGAGAAGAGGCGGGTGGACTGAGCCCCAGGCCGGCCCCACCCAGGAGCTCCACTGCAGGCCCCTCTCCTGAGGGAGGGAGGCAGTGGCTTGGCTGGGGGCCAGTAGGCCCAGCTGTTGCCAGGACACTGGGGTGGCCTTTGTCGCTGTCAACAATGGCCCCACAGGACTTGGAGGCAGGAGCCCCCAGGCACGCAGAGGCAGACATGCAGACCATGAGGCGGCAGGCTGCCTGGCCCTGTGTCCCCCGGGGGACCCTGGAAGTGGATTTCCCTCCACCTCTCTACAGGTGAGCATGTGCTGCCCTGTGCCGCCCCCCAGGTTTGCTTCGCACCAGCCTTAGCCCTTCATAAAGCCTCCCTGTCCTAACCTGGCTGCTCCCGGCACCCATCCCCTCCCGCCCGTGCCTGGCTGGAGACCTGGCAGGAGTCGTTGCAGGTTCACGTGGTGGTTCATGCCTGCACCACACACACATTGTGTGCGCACACACACAGCCGGCAGAGCAGAGGGTCCTGTGAACCCCACACTGCTGGACCAGTCTCCACAAGGGGCACAGAATACACTCTCCCTTCTCGGGGGGCCGGAAGTCCAAGAGCAAGCCGTCTGTCTGCAGGGTTGGGGGCCTCTTGAGGCCACAAGGGGGCGCCTGTCCTCTGGGCTCTGGGGTGCGGGCAGTCTGTGGCATCCCTTGGCTTGTAAAGGCATCACCCACACTGCCTCCACATCACGTGACCTTCTCCCCTCCCCGTCCAGATCCCCTGCCTTACTGGGAGTCTGCATCGGGGTCATGTTAGGGCCTTCCTGACCCAGCGTGACCCTTGTTTGGACTGTGCTGGGTCTTTGTTGCTACATGGGCTTCTCATTACAGCGGGTTCTTTTGCTGTTGAGCACAGGCTCTAGTGTTCAGGCTTTAGTAGTTGTGACTCCTGGGCTTGAAGGCACAGGCTCAGTAGGCACACGGGCTTTAGTTGCCTCACAGCATGTAGGATCTTTCTGGACCAGGGATTACATGTCTCCTACATTGGCATAGGTGGATTCTTTACCACTGAGCCCCCAGGGAAGCCCCACCCCCTCTGGAGTTATATCTGCTAAGACCATATCTCCAAATAAGATCACATTCTGAGATTGCAGGTAGACAGGAACTTGGGGGACACCTTCAACCCATTAGAGGATCCATTAATCATGAATAAACTGTAATACTATGCAGCTTTACAAAAAAAGGTGAGCAAGCCCCCTGGGTGCTGCATTTCCAAGAAAATTAAGAAAACCTGTGCCACCTCGATTGAAGCAGGGTCCCACAGGTGTGCAGTGGGACACCAGGTGCGTGCAGACAGTACTGCTGCAAGGGAATGGACAGCAGTGAGGGCTGGGGGAGCAACAGGGTGGGTCAGGGCTGGCAGCCAGGATGGGGGATGATCTTTTCTCAGGGCTTTATTAAACGCTGGGCTTCCCTGGTGACTGAGCTGGTAAAGAATCCACCTGCAATGCAAGAGACCTGGCTTCCATCCCTCGGTTAGGAAGATCCCATGGAGGAGGGCATGGCAACCCACTCCAATATTCTTGTCTGGAGAATCCCCATGGACAGAAGAGCCTGGCGAGCTACAGTCCATGGGGTCGCAAAGAGTCGGACACAACTGAGCAACTAAGCAGAGCACATTTATTGAAATGCCAGTAGGTCTCCCGATTCAAGACCTAGAAGGCTTCATTTATTAGAAGAAAAACATTTTTTCTTTCAGCTGTAATGCAGTGTTTTTATTTTTTGAGGTAATAATTGACACAGATACTTTTCATTGTGTGTTGTTTTAGACTGTTTAAATTCCTTTCCACAAACCACGTGCACTTTGTGGTTCCAGTTCATTTTGTAGCTCAAAAGGGTGGGGCCCGCCAGAGGGTCCCGCAACTCCCCTCCCTTCAAGCAGCAAACCCAGCCCACGGCCACTTCCCAAGACCTGTGCCCCAAACACAGCAGGCCACGCTCTCTTCTTTCTGGTTTGCCCTGTGGGGTGAGAATCCCAAGCAGGCACATAGGAGATGGTTTAGTCAGCAGCCCTGCTGGCACCATCTTGGGGTCACAGGCTCATTCCCTGGGGCACCCATGTCCCTGGAGCTAGTCTGCCAGGTCACACTGCACATGCTCACCTCTGTCCCCCAGGCAGTGGTACTGCCAGGATGTCTGGAAGGGGAGCTTTAGTTTTAATGACGCCTCCTTGAGGTGTTAGTGTCACCATCAGCATATTTCTACTTCCCTCGGCTCTGCCAGCCTCAGTTCTTACATCTTCCCCCTGCCCCAGGACCTTTGCATGAGCTGCGTGCCTCACATCACTGCTACCTTCTCTGGGAAGCCGCCCTGAGGCACTCAGCCTGGGAGAGGCTCTGGTACCAGAGGACCCTGGAACAGGAGGCATAGGTGCTTTAAACGTGAGCCAGTCTTAGCGTCTAGGTGTCCCTGGGGACTTAGAGGAATGGTGAGGCGACTTCCTGGGAGCCTGGGCCTCTCCACACGCTTTCCCTGGATCCCCAGCCCATGGCTTCCAAGTCAGACCAGTCACAGTGAAACCTGGGCCACTCACTCAGCTGTAGCTGAGACCACTTCCTCCCAGTACACTTCCAGGCCAGGGTGGCTTCCTGGAGGAAAGGGCCTGCAGATCTGTGAGGGACTTAGTAGAGGCAAGAAAAGCAGAAAAGGTGAAGAAGCATTTAAGAGGCTCCTGGGGGTCAGGGAGGATGGGGTAGAGAGGAGGGGCTACCAGGGGGCAGCCTCCTGCACCCGGATGCCAGCAAAGAGGATAGAGACAGGCCCAGGGAGGGCAGGGGGGCTGCAAGCTCAGTCTCTCTCCTCCCGCGCCGCCCCCCCACCCCCCCTGCCCACAGCGATGACTACCTGTCCCAGGAGGGGCCCCGCTGGACTCCGGCCATCAAGCAGGCCACGCGCTGGAAGTACACACCCATGGGACGCGATGCGGCCGGCCAGCTATGTTACACGGGCCTGACCAACTCGGACTCCCGGGAAGCCTGGTACACGCTCCCACGGGCTCCGGACAGCCCGTACCGTGAAGCTTATTCCCGCTGGCACGGATGCTATGGTCACCGGGAGCGCAGCCTGCCTTCGGGTGAGTGCCCGTCCCCTCCCGCTCCTACCTTCCCCCACCATCCCCAGGCCTGGAAAACAGGTGGGGCCGGAGGTGCGGAGCTGACCCCAACCCCCACCCCGCAGCCTACACCCAGCGTGTGCGGGAGACGGCCTGGTACGACCCCATCATCCCCGCGCAGTACTCAGACCCCAGCACTCGGTGGGGAAGCGTGCTGTGGAAGGACAGGCCCATCAGGGGCAAAGAATTCGGTGAGGCCCGGGGCAGGGGGCGGGGCTCGGGGCGGGACCGCCCGGGGGCGGGGCCAGCCGTGACCCGGGTCCTGGCCCCGCCCCGCAGCCGTCAACAGGCACCGCTTCGGGACGGAACCGCTATGGCGGGCGTCTGACTACGTGCGGTACCTGTCAGCGCCCCAGCGCCCGCGCTACACCGCCCAGAACTACCGGCAGTGGGGCCTGGAACCCTACTGTCCCGCTACCAACCAGCGGCCCCCGCCCGTCTACACACCCAGTCACTGATAAAGATCGTGCTGCTGCCCGACGCGGCTCTGCAGGGGCGCAGGCGCCACCACTCCCACCAGCCCTGGGCGTCCGTTCACCTCTGGGGCCGAGGCCTGGGGGCAGTCAGATAAAGGGAGACCCTGGTGACCAAGCTCGAGGCAGAGGCCGACAGACACCCACTCCGGCCCTGCCCCGGGCCCCAGGCAAACCGCCAAGGCACAGTCCTGGCCCCAGGCAACTCTTTATTCATGGTCAGCAGTGGCCTGGGCGCAGGGGATTGCACTTGGGGACCCCAGCCAGGCACGCTGAGCCTCGTCGCCTCCACGGCCAGGGTTTGGGCCCGGCCCCCCAACCCCGAGGTTGGAGCTCCTGGCAGGCTTAGCGACAGCTCTGTCCTCCAGGGCCTGGTGGCACCCGGGAAACCCTTGGCTAGCCAGGGCCGGGCTCCATGCAGCCCCTGGGCCTAGGACCCTCATATCCAGCCCCACATAACACATAACACCCCCATCATCCAGACGGTGGGGGGTGGGTTAGAGTTGACACTGGAGTACACCAAACCATAAGGATCCCGCCAGTTCCGTGTCCTCCCCTTACCCCAGCAAGAATAAGCTGCTGGGACCTCACCCATTCTGACCTCCACCCACAGCCAGGCAGAGACAGGACAAGGCAGGGGAGGGAGTGGAGGCGCTGCTCCAGACCTCTGGGCATCAGATGTTCACAGTCGAGGTTAATTTACAAAGGGCAAGGGACCACGGGGTGGGGTCAGGGCTAGGCTCCAGGGTCCCCTGCAAGAGAAGGGGTGGGAGTGGGGTTGGGGGGATGGGCTGGCCAGTTCTGGCCCCGCCGTCCCAGACCTACCACCACCCAGGACTGGTTGGGGTTTTTGTGGGGTGGGGGCGCCTATGACTCACATCTCCGAAGGTGGATGGGCCAGACCAGGAGACTGCACAGAGCCAGGGTGGCGGCCACGCCCACGCCGCCTGTGACGACCACCATCACCCAGTGGTAGAAAGCCACACAGGCTTTGCAGCAGAGCTCCAAGCTGGGGAGGAGCAAGAGGGAGTGAGAGCTATCACTAGGTACCCTCGGCCCCAGGCTGGACCTCCTGCTCCTCTCAGCTGGTGCCCAAGCTTTTCCGGCACTCAGGCCAGGGCCAGGGCTCACCCTCCACCCCTTTATCTCCTCCAGCATCTGATACCTCACCCAGTAATGTCAGCTCTGCCTTCAAAGTCTATCCTAGACTCCCCATTTTTCCTCCCTCGGGAGCCCCAAGTCCAGCCCAGCACCACCCCCACCACCCTATACCCTAGTCCCCACCTGGTGTTCCCAGCTTCACTGCCCCATCTGTCCTTCCAGCAGCCACTAGAGGGCGGAGTGAGCAACTGAGTCATCTCCTCTGCCCACAGAGCTCTGAGCCACCCCACCACGGCCCCCACCCCTGCAGTCATCCTCCCCTGCTGCTGCCCCGGCACGACCTGCACCATCCCCTCCCTGCCCTGGCCTCCTCACTCTCCAGACACCCAGGCCTTCTCCACTGTTCTTTCAACACACCAGGCCTGGTCCTGCTCCAGGGCCTTTGCACAGGCTCTTCCTCTCCATTTACCTAGAAATCCCTGACATCCCCCAGGTCTCGGATCCCATGTCACCTCAAGGAAGCCCTTCCTGACCTCTTGCCCTAGTCAGGCCTCCCTGAGTGGTGTCCTTCATGCCCTTGTACACATTTATTCATGGGATATTAATGTGCCTGGAACCCTAAGGCCTAAGGGTCTGAATGACAGGGATTCCAGGCTTCCCCACTCCCGTCACTCAACCCATCTTTGTGTCGTCAGCGCCCAGCACAGGACACACTGTCCACTCTGAATAAATGGGTGCTTGAAGTGGGGAATAACCTGGTCTCCCTGACTCCAAGGCCACCACCACTGTGTTGGAATCTTCTGTCGGTCATGGATCCCACAGACTGCGGGCAGTACCTGGCATACAGCACAGGCTTAGCACACCTTACTAGACATGACAACGGCTGGATGGGGTACTCACGAGCAGGGGTGCAGGCTCTGGATGGCCATAACTGCCAGCCCATTGGCCACCTTGTCCGAGAAGCTCATGGCGCCGTACACGAACGCTCCACTGTGCTGGGGGGACGGAGGCAGGGGGCTCAGCACCCCAGGCCTCGGCCCTGGTCCCCAGCCTCAACCTGGCCCCACTCAGCAGCCCTACCGTGTGAGGGCCAATGAGGTCAGCTGTCATGGCCAACGAGGTGACCAGGATGGTGGCACAGCCCATGCCCAGCAACACAGCCGCCACATACACAGCCACGCCCAGCTCCTCTGCCAGCGCCACCCAGGCTGCAAAGGCCAGGATCACCAGGAGGCCCACGAAGTAGGTCATCTGCAGAGTACCCAGCCCAGCGTCGGGCCCACCTCATTGAGCAGGCCTGAGCTGGACACCAGCCCTTTCTGGTCTCCAGTCCAGCCCCCAGCCCCAGCAAACAAGAGGACTGAGTTGGGTCATCCCTAAGGAGCCCCCAACTCTGACCTCAGAGAATTCCAAGGTTCTGAGTCTGCTGATACTGAGTGATCCATGGAGCGCATGTTCTACAGCTAAGCTGTCTGTCATGGCTGCCACTAGAGACTGGTGGCTACTCATGTCTCAACACGAGTTAATAAAGGAAATCAAGTGAAGTGTTTGGTTCCTCAGTCATACCTGCCACCCCCACTCCTGACCTCTAGAGGGCTGTGGATGGATACAGGGTGCTCAAAGCCCAGGTTCTACAACTTGTTTCCCATCCTGGGGTTCCTCCAGGATGTGGGTGCCCTGTCCGGAGTTGCCCAGGTTCTGGGGGCACCCCGCCTCCCCACCTGCCCACTCACATTCCTCCCGATGCACTTGTTCACTGGCTTCATGAGGAAGGAGGAGCAGAAACCGCTAAGGTACATCACCAGTGGGATGGTGGCGATGAACCTCTGTGGGGTGGAGAGGGCGCAGACACATCAGGCCCTGCTCAGCAGGCTCAGGGACCCCTGCCCCAGCCTGCCCGCCCAGCTCACCTTGGGCAGGTGGAGGGAGTAGGTGAGGTACATGGCTATGTACGTCTGGGACAGGTTCACAATGAGCCTCGTGCTCATGTACAGCAGGCCAACCTAGGAACACAGAGGGAGCATGGGGCCGGGGGACAGAGTGGCAAGTCAGGATGAGTCACCCTGCAGCTTGCCACCCTGAAGCTGACACCTGACCATTAGTAGTGACCGCCTAACTGGTCAGGTGGAGAAGATGGCAGGGATCTATTAGTAATGTCTGTCCTGGGTGTGGACTGGGGAAGGGGTACGTTTGCTCTAGTGTCTGCTGTCTCTGCCTGCAGCCCCGCACAGTGAGGGCCCTGGTGGGGGAGGAGCATAAACCCCAACCCTCTTTGACCCCCCTCCCCCCCGCTGTCATACCTGATAAAAGGCCGGCTCCCGAAGCCAGTGTTTCCAGAGCAGCAAGGGCTGGGCGGTAGAGGGAGCCAACAGGGGGCTGTGTTCACCGGGCTCCTCCACCTGCCGCCGGCGCCCCTCCCTGGTGCCCAGGTGGAACAGCAGTGAGAAGACAGCTCCGACACCCACCACCAGCAGGGAGAGGTTCTGGGGACCGGGTAGGAGAGGGGTCAGCAGTGACACTTGGCCCGAACCCTGAGTTCAGGACCTTGGAAACACCTCTCCCAGCCCCCTCAGCTCACCCGGAACACTGGCACATCCTGGACCCCCAGGTGGTCGCTGACATCCTTGGTGGGGCCAGTGGATGAGCCCTGCAGGTGTAGCAGAAGCCAGGCAGCTCCAAAGACGGTGATGTTGGCCACCACAGTGAAGGCGTACCTGCGGGACAGTCAGGCCTCAGAGAGGCCGCCCAGAAGCCACACAACCGCTTCCTTCCCAGGCGGCCACCCAGTCAGAGATGCTGGCCATACCTGGGGAAGTCCTGGCCACATGGTCAGCCACCAACACATCGGGTAGTCCCTGGAAAGCCTCTGCTGGCCTCAGTTTCCCCAGCCTCCATATTATCAGACTTCCTGCTCTGAACCAAGACTCCACCATGAGGTCCTGCCTGCCCAGGGCCCAGAGTGCAGAGATTCCGCGAAGCAGGGCCGAGTCAAGGATGCACCCCAGAGACCTGAGAAGCTGAGATACTCAAAAACCCTGGGCTTCTGCTGGGCAGAATCACCCAGGCCCGCACCTGCCTGCAGACCCTGAGCCCTGTCCCCCAGGGCCTCACCACATAAGGAGCCTCTGGGTCTCACTGAGACTCCATTTCCCTTTCTGAAAGTGAAAACAAGAACACCCTCAGAGTCACGAGACAGGCTTGGTAAAACCTGTGGGTAGAAAGCACCCAGAACTTGACTTCTATGAGCCCAGCCCACCCCCCTCAGCTGGGGCCTTTGGGGGCCCTGGTCATTGGGCAATGCCCCGATGCCGTTAGTGCCTGCAGCTCCGCAGCCCTAATGGGGAACTGGGCTGCGGACAGGCGGAGCCTTATGACCAGCGTTCATGCCTGAACGGCCACCTGCAGGAGCGACATCCCTCCTGCCCAACAGTCACTTCCTGATCCCCGCTCCCCCTACGTAGGCCCTGCTCCGCTCAAACCCTCTCCCTGGGCACATGTCAATCAACCTCCCAGGCTTGTCATGAGAGTGAAAGATGGTTTCCTGTGCTCACACACAGCAAGGGTTCTAAAGGGCTCCTGCTACCACTGCACCTAGAATCACCACCTTTAAGCAAGTCAGTGGGTGGTCTGGGGGCCAGCTGTACCCACATGTGACAGGCAGGATGCTAAGATGCCCAGCGATCCCCCTGCCCTGCTTCCTCTCTGTCTAACCCCCTCCCCTTGGGGAACAGAACCTATGAATACAATGGGATGTCAGGCCATGTTAAGATAACATCCTATGGCAAAGATCAAGGGATTTTGCAGATGTAATTAAGACAGACTATCCTTGGTGGGCCTCCTGGAGAAGGAAATGGCAACCCACTCCAGTATCCTTGCCTGGAAAATCCCATGGATAGAAGTGTCTGGCGGGCTACAGTTCATGGGGTCGCAAACAGTCGGACATGATAGCGACTGAGCACATCCTGGGTGGGCCTGACCTAATCAAGTGACCCTCAGAAATAAGGCTCACACTGTCCCTGAGATCAGAGACTTGTGCTGGCCACAAAGCAGTAGCAAACCCCAGAACTTCTAAAAGGAAGCAAACACAGCAAACGATGACAACGTAAGCGGGGCAGAGGGACCTGAAACCTCAGCCGACACCTCAACTGCAGCCTCAAGCCTGAAGCTGAGAACCCAGCTAAGCTAAGCCAGACTCCTCACCTGCCAGAACTGTGAGGCAGTCTATATGTGCTGTCTGAAGCTGCTGATGCAGTGCTATTTGTTATGCAGCAACAGCTGAATGATACACTGATTGACAATGTCCATTCTGGGGCTGAGACCCAGAGCCACACAGCCAAGCAGAGCTCAGACGTGGTAGGTTTCCCTGGGCCCCCTGCCCCACCCTGCCCTGCCCCAAAGGTGGTACCTCAAAGCTGTGAGCTCCACCTTCTCATGGTCGTTGGTGACGAGCTCTGGGATGAGGCTGAGGTGGGCGATTTGTGTAGCAGCCCAGCCGAACTGGAAGATCACAATGAAGGGCCCGTAGTAGAGGAGGGCGGCCCACTCAGGCGTGGCGGCCCCGCAGCCCAGGCAGGGGCTGAAGATGAAGGGGAAGGACAGCAGGACACAGATGGTGCCTGTGGACAAGCAGAGTGGGGACGGCACATTGCAGGGCCTTCCCACACTGGCCCTGGGCTCCCCAGGTAACTGGGTGGGGCCAAAACCCAGACACAGACAAGCTTACACAGTGAGTGAGGGTCAGAGGCCCAGGGCTCCCTGGGCTTACAGCCCTGTGACAGATAGGGAAACTAAGGCAGAGAGATCTAGGGGGTCCCCCTGAGGACACACACCCAAACAGGGCAGAGGAGCTGGGCCTCCCCATCCAGGCTACCTGCCCCTGTGTGTGGAGTAGGTCACATGCCGTACCCACGTGGGGGCAGGGGCAGGTGATGAGGGGCAGGAATGGGGGCCCCCATGCCAGCTCAGGACTCCCCAAGCTCACCCCCTAGGGGACAGCTCAAGAAACTGAAGCAGAGCTTTAGGCCATGCAGCAGGTTGAAAGAGTGCTGTGGGGTCCCCTGGGGAAGTGCCCACCACTTCCCCTTCCTACCTCCCCACCAAGGAGGGCTTTTCCTCCCGGGTCCTACCAAGTGACGCTGGGTGGGGCTGGTTGGACCCTGCCCTCCCTGAGCCCTGGTGTCCCCATCAGCCCATGAGGGGGCCTCTTCCTGGAAAATACCCTAATTCCTCAGAACAAGCACAGGTCCTTTTCAAGGCCTCAAAGGCCCTCCCCTCCCCTCCTCCCCCTTCCTCCCCTCAGCTCACTCTGCTCCAGGTACTGGGGCCTCTAGCTATTCCTTCTGCCCCAGGGCCTTTGCACCATCGGTCCATGTGTGCCCTCTGCCTGGAATGCTTCTCCCCACAACATCTGAGCAAGACCCACTCCTCTCCATCCCTTGGGACTCAACTCAAATGTCACCTCCTCCAAAAGGCTCCCCCCCGCAGTCCCCTCCCCACCCTGACACTGTCTGTTACCCTGCTTTCTCTTCTTCACATCCCTTAGCACTCAGGAATTCTTTGTCTGTCTGTCTGAGGGTGGGTAACAGGTCTCTCCAAGTCACTTCTGTGTCCCTTGTACCCATTACAGAGCCTAGCACACCAAGATCTTTTCAATGAGTGAATAATAACAGTGGCCTCTGTTTACAGCCCAAAGCAGGACATGTTATTATTAACCCCATTTCCTGATGAGGAAACTGAGGCCCACAGAGTGAACTATGGAGCTAAGAGTCCGGCCCTCCACCCTTCTCCTCCCATCCCCGAGGGCCCGGAGTCAGACTTCCGTTCTTCCTCTTTCCTGCCCTGGCTCCGGCTCTGGAGGTGACCTCATCCTCCAGACCCTGGGCCCGCCCCCGCAGTCCAGGGATTGGGAACTGAAACTAAAATCACCCGTCCTATTTCTCTGGAACTGGTGCCTGGGAGGGGCACCCCGGGGAAGATGCCTGGAGGTCTGGTGGCCACTCAGGGCCAGACGGGAACTGTAGACTCTGATCAGAAGAATGTGCTGCCCTGGCCGGGCTCTACCCTGCCACTGCTTGGGTAGTTAACCATTGTCAGCGCCCCAGGCTGCCTGGCTGCGGGACTTTGGGCAAATGACTTTACATCTCTGGGCCTTTGCCTACATTATCTTGTGGGGTAATGAAAATACCCCACAAGATGGGTGTGAGGATTAAGAGTTAATGTGTGAAATTGGGAGCTCCTACTACTCTGAGCCACTTCCTGTCTCAGCAACTTCAAAGCCATGACTTCACACCTTTGCAAATGCTGTTTCAACTACTTGGAATGCTGCCCCATAAGCACACACTCTTATTCATTCTCCAAAACCCCAAAGCTAATGCCCACTCCAGTGCTCTGCTTCTTCCTTATGAAGTCCAGTCTACTCACCTGCCCCAGCCTGGACCCCAGAGGAGTATCCATGTCTTGCTCTCTGGGTCCTCCATGGGCTAGAAGGGGAGCCCAGATGCTCATCAAGGTGAACATTGAGTCCATCCCCACTACCCACAGATTCAGGGGCAAAATAAGAGTGGAAGTGGACACTGTGGCCAAGGTGACCTTCATTCAAGTCACCTTATCAGGCCTCACAAGGGGTCACCCTGGCTTCCTCTCCCCATAGATCTTCCTGGATCTTCCTATATGCTAACCCCAAGGCAGGAGGAGGGTGCAGGTAGATGCCTTGATATCTGGTTGGGGCACCCATGCCCCACACCTATTTTGCCTAAACACAAAGCCTTCAGTTTAGGGGACTTAGATTTTGGTCTGGGGTCATGTGAGACCCTCACTGAAGCTCGGTCCTCTGGTTACAAAAGGGGAGTCGGGGCTGCTACTAGGTCCCATCTCAGGGCCTTTGAACAGGCAGCATCCACTGCCAGGGCCACCTACACACCGCGGGCTCCATCTCCTTAGAAGGGTCTCATCTGTCCATCCCAGAAAACAAAGAGTCCTCACACCTCTTTGGCCCAGGAACGACCTTTTTGGTGTGTGTGTCAACAAGTCTACCCAACTATTATGAACAAAATTGAATTCGAGATTGCGGGTTCGGCTCTGTAAGTGATCCCAATGAGAGCCCGCGGAGGGACACCTCTGTCTGCGATCTGAGTCACCTGCCCCTCTGTGGCTGCTTATCTAACAGCCTGAGCTGTGTCAGTGTCTAAGAAACCTGAAATACAGCCCCGAGCCACTGCAAACACAGCAACACTGGCCACCGGCAGGCAACCTGGAGGTCTGCTGAACTTTGCAAATATGTTACTCACAAGGGCCAGGGGTAAATAACTGCCTCTTCAGTCACTGTTCCCAGGGGCAGGGAGATACTAGCCAGCCCTCCTGGCTCTTGAAAAGCTGCCACCCTGAATTCTCATGTGGCCAGATTCCTGGCTTTGCTTCCTGAAATGCCTGGCGTGCCCCAAGTGCCAGGATGCAGCTAGTACTTCTGCCAGGGAGAGAACAGTAGGCAAAGTGGCCCGCAGCTAATCTCAGGGCCCAGGGTCCAGGCGGGCAGAGGAGGGACTCCAGGAGCTGGGCCTTATCAGGGGTGTGCACTGGGGAGGGCACTCCTGCCCCGGTGACACCTACCTCCTCCCCTCGCTGACAGCCCTCTAAGTCCAGGCAACTCCCCCAGAAGGAACAGAGGGTAACCCCGTAATCTTCTCTGCAGAACCCCATCCCATCGGCTGGACAAGCACAGAACCCTGACCTTTCTGGCTCACCCGGCCCACAACCCAGTTCCCAGGGCAGCTCTCCAAAGTCACCAATTGCCAGGTTGCCCGAGATGGGGCAGAAGAAAGACGGACGAAGTGCACTGAGGGACAGAGAGCGACACGGGGCTCTAGGCCACCTAACTCAGAGTGTTATTGGTGGTCACTCTCCTAGACGGAGAGAAGTCAGGCCAGACCAGACAGACTGACAGGGGAGGCAGGAAGGAAGATCCAACCCAGAGACGGTTCAGGGTGCCCCTGAGCGTCAGACAGATGAAGAAAAGTGACACTAGACGGTCACACCCAGAGTCACATGGAGGAGGCTCCACGGGTCAGCCAGCAGCCATCAGACAGACAGACAGACAGAGAAAGGGTACAGAGCAGTTAAGCGGACCGATGGGAAGGCTCATGGGCTGGGCAGATAGAGGACTGAAAAGTGGGACAGAGGAGCCGGCAGTCGGATGAGGGAAGCGGGACCGGGGCTTACCGACCAGGTGCCAGGCCTTGCGCGGGCCGAAGCGGGCGCAGCGGCCTGCGGCGCGGTCAGCCTCAAAGCCCACAAGGGGCGTGCACAGCCCGTCGGCCACCTGGCCGAGCAGCAGCAGCAGGCCGGCGCCGCGCGAGCTGTAGGCGCGCACCGAGTGCAGGTAGAGCAGCAGGTAGGTGAACCACATGGACGCGCACAGGTCATTGAGGAAGTGGCCCACAGCGTAGCTCAGCCGCGCGACCAGGGACAGCGGTCGCGGGGGCGCTCCGGCTCCGGCCGCCGGGGGCCCCGGGCCCATGGCGGCGCTCCGGGCTCGGCCTGTCCGTCCGGCGCTGGCAGACTGGACCCCCGAGCCGGGCTATCCGCGTCCAATCCTCCCCGTTGCGACTCTCCCCTCCGCTCCACCCCGCCGTGCGCTTTTGCAGCTGCGGTCCTGGTGGACCCAGGACTACCTCGGGCGGGGCGGGGAATCGCCGGAGTGGCGTCCACTCTCTCCAATTGAAGCCGCACGCCGGAGAAGGCAAGCCAATCATCACGAAGAGGGGGCGTGGCCCGGGGGCACTGGGTTTTTGGGGGCGGGGGGCCGTTGGTTTCGGCCCGGCGGGGGTTGGGGGTTCTTGGGGCCCCCGTTTCTTTCATTGGTTTGCGGACCCCCTCCCACGCAGGTGGAGGGGCGACGCCAAGGGCTCCCCTAATCAGACTCGCGACTTAAGACCCACGCCGTTTCAGTCTGCCGGCAAGTTTACGAGGCCTCTTGTGGGCCAGAGAGGACGGGGTAGGCTGGGGTCGCGGGTGGGTGGAAGAGCGGTCTGAGTCCGACCTCGCCCCACTGGGGCCCGGTGATTTCCTGGCCTGGAGAGAGCCAGTCCGGCGCAGAGAGAACACATTAGTTCTAATTAATTAGTTATTAACGATAATGGGGATGATCAAAATATTAACACCAGCTGGCATTTATGAGCGCTGACCGTGCCAAGCGCCCACGTGGATTTTCTCCTCCCGGCAGAGCAGGAGGCGGAGCAAGTCTCCAATTTCACAGGCGAGACACCGCCTTGGAGCTCCTCATGAGTCAGGTGCATGCGACTCTGAGGCCAGCGCTCTGGACCCCTCTCCATCCTCCTTCCAACGCCTACCCTCACCCCCGCACCCCTCGCCACGATTGGGTCATCGCGCACACAATTTCAAGTTCCTCCAAGCGTTGGGTGCAGTTCCCCCTGGCCTCCGGGCCTCCACCAGCAGTGGTTTAAAACCTGCACTCCGGAACCAGAGGCCGGGATCCAGGTCCAGTCCCATCCACTCCGAGCTCCTCCTGCTGGGACGAGCCCCATCTCTTCCTGGGATTCCCCAGCTCTAGAATGGGTATAATGTATGTTTAAAAGGATCTAAGCGTCCTGGGACTTCCCTGGTGGTCCAGGGGCTAAGACTCCGCCCTCCCAATGCAGGGGGCCTGGGTTTGATGCCTGATCATAGAATTAGATGCTGCATGCCACAACTAAGACCTGGTGCAGCCAAATAAATAAGGTAAAATTTAAAAAAAATTTTTTTAATTTATTTTTTTTATTAGTTGGAGGCTAATTACTTCACAATATTGTAGTGGTTTTTGTCATACATTGACATGAATCAGCCATGGATATACATGTATTCCCCATCCCAATCCCCCTCCCACCTCCCTCTCCACCCGATCCCTCTGGGTCTTCTCAGAAAATAAAAATTTTTGAAAAGGATATAAGCATCAGTGCTTAATATTCTCAGCCAGAAAGCCTTTTCAGCACCCTCTCCTCCCCACTCAGTTATTACTCTGGGTTCCACAGTATCCTGCTCTCTCCTGCCACATTTGTAACCCTTTGTCTTCCCCACTGGACCATGATCCCTGTGAATACACTCTTAGTCACTGGGTTGTCCCCAGTGATGCCTGGCACATAGTAGGAACTCAAGAAATATCTATCAAACGATTGAGTAGTGGACATATAGGCAAAGAATCAGAAATGCAGAAAAATGCAGACAGAAATTTGGAAACAGGGGGGAACCCATTTATAAACTTAAAGCTCATGGGACTTACTTGGTGGTCCAGTGGTTAAGAACCTGAGCTTCCACTACATAGGCTGTGGATTTGACCCCCATGCTGGAAAAAGAAGAAAAAGCAAAAGATAAACTTGAGGCTCAAGCAACCCAAGGGGTGCCCAGCCCAGACCTTGACACTGATGCGGACCACCTACTGCCACACACATTTTTTCATGGAAAGGAGCTGAAATGGGTGTGAATGGGAAATAGTGGCTTCAAGAGAGATAGCCTGGTAGAAAAAGAGAGGAGATAGGGGTAGACCCAGATCTCTGATAAACAGATAAGCAGAGATCAGAGAACCACATTTCCTCCCGGCCAAGGTTGCTTCCTTTGGATTTTGGGTTTTTTTCCTTCAACTTTCGGCCACTCTCTGAGGCATGTGGGATCTTGGTTCTCCAACAGGGATCGAACTTGAGCCCCCTGCATAGAAGCGGGAAGTCTGAACCACTGGACCACCAGGGAAGTCCCCAGAAGACGACTTTAACACTACTAGTGGGCTTCTCTGGTGATCCAGTGGTTAAGACTCCGTACTTCCACTGCCGGGGCATGTTCAGTCATGTTCCACTCTTTGTGACCCTGTGGACTGTAGCCTGCCAGGCTCCTCTGTTCATGGGATTTTTCAGGCAAGAATATTTGAGTGGTGCCGGGGTCCAGCCTCGGCAGGATCCAGGAGGTACCCTCAGGATGAACGGCGTCGGCAAAAGATAGAAGACACGTGAGACCAGCCTTGATAGGGCCAAGTCTGCGAGGGAGAGAGAGAGAAAAAGAGAGAGAGTGACCAGACGGGGGGTGCAGCTGGGTCTGGCAGAGTCTGGCAATGCTTTATTTTTTTACCATAGCTTTTATACCCCAAGTTAGTACATTTCTAAGGGGAAGATAGTTTAACATTACGTCAGCTTGTCCTTCATGAAACCAGGGTGTTTTCTGCATACTTCTTTGTTTATGAGGGTCTTGTATATTATCTTCTGGCCTGGGGGCCTATTAACATTTTATGCAAGTCAGGTGAATGTAAACCTATTTTCTGTTTCTATGGTGACCTTAACTGAAAGGTAGCAGTCTCATAGGGCAACAGTACAGAGTAGAAGTATAACCTTGTTAATACAAAAATTAATCCTTCTGCAGAAGTTGTCAGTTGCATTTATCTAAGAAGTTTACCCCACACTGACTCTGTGACTTTGGTGAGGCAGCTTCTGCCTAGCACTCCTGGCTGACAATTACCAACCATCTCATTGTTACAATACTAGGGCTAAGCTCTTATTTTTCTAAATCTATAACTATATTAACAAGGGTTTCCATAGCACAGCCCTAACGTCCTAAAAGCAAAAACAAACGTTAACCCAATAACCACTTTTATAATAATTTTTTTCTTATATTTTCTAATAAAATTCCTTCACCCCTCAAAAATGCTCTATGTCTATTAGGGCTTTTATATAATCAGGTGCTTTATGCTATTTTATGATTAAAATATTATAAGCAATCATGCATATTAGTACCAAGGGCATAAATGCATTTGGCTAACAAACTACCAGCAAAGGAGTTTAAATTAAAACACTCCTTTCACCCTGAATAATCTCATAAAATACCACCACCTGGGAAACTTATTGATTAAAGTTCTAAATTGATTCTTATTTGGGAAGAGATCGGGGAAGGCCTTCTGCCTATGTTACAGAAATTAGGGAGTATTAAAGCAAGCATCAGAAGAACAGATACCATCTTTAAGGTGAGCGCCGGGGGCAGCTTTGGGGCAGTTTTTCAGAATCCCTGAAAACCTGATCTGCCTTGCCCATCAGGCTTTCTCCCCATGACCTTGTCATGGGTGGGATCTCGTGAGCTAGCCTTTTCGAAATCCTTGAAAACCTGATCTGCCTTGCCCATCAGGTTTTCTCCCTCATGACCTTGTCATGGGTGGGATCTCGTGTGCCGGCTCCCGGCAGAGTGGGTTGCCATTTCCTCCTCCAGGGGATCTTCTCAACCCAGGGATCGAACCCAAGTTTCCTGAGTCTCCTGCATTGGCAGGCAGATTCTTTATCACTGAGCCGCCTGAGAAGCCCCACAGGAGGGGGCGTGGGTTCAATCCCTGGTTGCCGGAATATCCCACATGCCATGGAGCACTGCCAAACAAATAAAATAAAAAATAAATACAACCCGATTAGCCTAAGCTTTTTATTTGCATTTCTCCTCTCTTTTCTTACCTCAACACTTAACACCCATTTTACAGATGAGAAAACTGAGGCTCAGACAGAACTTCCTTGCCAGAGGGCAAGCAGCTGACAGGAGGTGGATTCAAGATTCCAACTGAATTCCCCGTGACTTCCAATATCTTTGAGTTAATTATTCACTTTCAGGAGAGGTCTCACCTGGTGGGTAAAAGATGGTTGTTTTCTCTCTTTTATCAGCCTCCTGTGTGGATCAGGAACCCAAGGCATCAACCTGGCAGCCCCTGGGGGCAGATCCAATAGGGGGAGGAGGGGCTGTTTGGTGGAAGTACCAACACATCTCTCATTTCTGGGTTTTTGGTCTATTGAAGCCAGCTAGTACTTCTTGGCCCTGACTCTGGCGACTGTTAGTCACTCAGTCGTGTCTGACTTTTTGTGACCACGTGGACTGTAGCTCACCAGGCTCCTCTGTCCATGGGATTCTCCAGGCAAGAATACTGGAGTGGGTTGCCTTGCCCTTCTCCAAGGGATCTTCCCCACCCAGGGATCAAACCCGGTTTCCTGCATTGCAAGCAGATTCTTTTCAGTCTGCGTCACCAGGGAAGTTGACTGTGTGGGGATGACAGGAACAAGACTGATCCTGACGCTAGGGGAGCCAGGGAGCTGTCCCTGAGCATTGTCATTCATTCATTCATGAACTCATTAATGAATGAACTCATTCACTCACTGGATCTGGTCTCAGCCTGAGTGACGCTGGAGTCCCAAAGATTCTGAAGCCCTTAGTTCTAAGTGAGGGCAGAGCCACACCCTCCAACCCCCACCGTGATCTGTGCTGGGACTGGAAGAATCAGACCAGGAAGTGTGACAGAATGTCAGAGGTGTTGGGACATTACCCTCAGGTCACTGAGCCACAATAGAGTTTTGATAAGGTGGGGAGAATCAGATAAAAAGTCTATGGGGGGACCTCCCTGGTGGTCCAGTGGCTAAGAATCAGCCTGCCAACGCAGAGGACATGGGTTTGATCCCTGGTCTGGGAAGATCCCACATGTTATGGGGCAACTAAGCCGATGTACCACAACTACTG